AAAGTTAACCTTGTTAGTTTTTGTCGTTGCTAGATTTCTGTACAATCCTCATGTTGGTAAGTAGATCATACACAAATTATTTATTCATGGCAATCTAGGAAACAAACAATATCAATCACATAATTTAATCATGCAAAAATTATAGTTGTACATGAAGCAAGTCAAGAATGTGTGTGATTAAAATCATTAATTAATCACATACAAATTATTTGTAGCCTGTCTTCTAACAAAATAATCCCGTATATCATATATGAAGATAATACTACTTATATTGACCAGTTGAAAGAATGGTACATTAAATAAGATAGAATAAAATATATTTCACCAAAAAAAATTAACTCATGATCTTTAAAAGAATGGTGAAATTAATATTTAACAAATTCATTTAAAATAAAATCTAGCTGATATGCTCATCAAGTCACTTCGTGCTAAAATATTTGAGAAGCTTGTTCGTAACATTAGATTTTATAGACTTAGAGGTATCAATTGATGCTATCAAGAGGGAGAGTTAATACGCGCTGTACTTTTTTTTCCTTGTCTAAGTTTTTTTTTCCATTGAGTTTTTCTACTAGGGTTTTTAATAAGGTAGCATGGAATAGAGTATAAATGAATGATATACTCTTTTCTTCTGTTAGGATTTTTTTTCCCATTAAATTTTTTCTAGTTGAAGTTTTTAATTAGGCACGTTCTTATATAATGAACATCCAAGGGTGAGTGTTATGAATATTAAAAGGATAGTAGATATTCATCTTTCTCACTTCTTTATCTTCATCTTTTCCCATAAAACTTTCACTATTAAAATAATTTATTATCCTTTATTTGCTTTTATCATTCGTATAGCTTTTGATGTGTAAGAATACACCTATAAATAAGGCATGTTATTTATATTGAAAGGTACAATAATTTATAAAAAATTATTTCATTCTCTTGTCTTACTTCTCCCCCCAATATATTTATTTTTAGTTGTTTATTTCTTAACAAATTATCAATATAGTGTCCTATATAAGATACTTTTAATTAACTTACCAAAACTTTAAAAAATATTAAAATAATAGTTAAAAGTTATTTTTTTCCCTTAACTTTATCCAAAAGATCACTAAGTATCATATAGTCAACAATGAGTCAATTTTATCCCTCAATATTAAAGATTTGCTCTTTTATCATCCTGCCATTAACTTGTTGTTTTATTCACCATTTGTCAACCGCACATTGCATTTTTTTTAATATGTTTATTATACAACATTGAGTTAAGGGGTATTTTTACTACTCAACTTTACCTTAAAGAGCCAGTGAGCATTCTAAACTCAAATATTTTATAATAAACATATTAAAAAAATTGTAATGTGTGCACCACTAATGGTGAACAAATAGAGAGTTACTGGCAAGGTGATCAAGAAAGAAATTTTTAACATTGAATGATAGAATTGACTTATAGTTAAACTTAGAGTGCTTAATGACCAAGTAAAGTTAAAGGGAAAAAATAATTCTTAACCCTTAAATAATTAATATGAACAATAAATAAACTTTACATATTGTAAAAAATACTATCAACTATATCTAAATTTAATGATGAAGCCAGTTATATTTATTCTTAAATAAAACTATGTCTAAATTTATATATAATATAAAAAAAAACTATATAATCTACAAGTCATAAATAACCTTGATCCTATATAAAATAGTAAAACACAAACTTCTAAATTTACAATATATTAATTTTTGGAATAATAAAATTTTTAGTGTCTTGAATTTGTCTCGATTAACGGCTTGGTTTAATTTGATCTTTCAAGTTTAATTTTGATCAAGTTCTTCCTCTAAGTTTGTCCAATTATTAATTTGGTCATTATTGTTTAAAAATAATGTAACAGTATTAAACTATATTAAAATAGATAATGAAATATTGATAGTAGTCATGCAGATAAATGAAAATAAGTATAATTATTTGGGTAAGGAAAAATAAATTCAGGAATTTTAAAATATGAAAGAACAAAACCCAGCTTAACAAATAATATTGATAAAAATTAAAATAATTTACTCTCTCTATTAAAAAATATAAAGTATTTTTAACTAAATTTTACTTTTAATAAATCAGTTATTTGTTTTCAAACTAAACTTATTTTTTTATATTTATCCTTATTTAATAGGATATTTCACCTTAAAATAAGCATAAAATGATTTATTTAATAGGGACACTTGTGATAAAAAAAGTAATGATTATATGTTAAAAGATAAAAAATGTTTTAAATTTTTGAACATACAACCACTTAAAAATTGCTTTACATTTTTAAATAGAGAAAGTAAAAGTTAATTTGCTATCATTTAACTACATACATATGTTAAGTCATTAACATACTTTACACATTAAATTAATATGAGAGTTGACTTGTATTTTAAAAACTTACAAGACAGACATACATACATAATAATTTAAGAATACAAAAAAGATTAAATTAATAAAAATTAAATTTAGATAGTGTTTGAATTGATAAATTTAAATTTAGATTTTATATTTGAAATCTTGCGTAAGTTTATTAGGAGGAAAACATACTCCTTTCAATCCAAAATATAAAGATTTCTTCTCAACCAATCTTGATTCAAAAGATAAGTAAATTAGTACATGTAAAAAATGTTTTTCATTTTATCCCTTTTATTTATTAACCTAAATATTTGTATAGATATATCTTTTACTCATCATAAAATACGTTGGTAATTGAGGTTGGGAGGAAAAAAAAATAATTTTATGAAAATGAGGATTTAATTGATATATAAATTATTTTCAGAAACTGTTTATATTTTAAGATGAAAGAAGTAGCTTGTGAGTTGAAACGAATATCAGGAGCATGCGAGAAAGGAATCACAAGATCGAACTCCGTTAAGAGACACAGCGAATGCACAGCACAGAGGAAGGGAAAGAGAAGAAAATAGAAGGAAGTCTGTTCACACAGTTGAGAATGAACAAAATGAATCCCGCATACCATTCAAGTCCCTTCGGACGTGCACGGAGCTCCAAAAACTCAATGGGAATATATAAATAAAGTCTCAATCTTTATTACATGTAAAGACCCATATTCTCTCCTTATCTTGATAAAGCCCTATAGGTTTATGTCAGGCATGATTCACGAGGGTGAATTGCCCAACATTTTGCACTTCTAATCTCACATTTGAACCCATGTATTTACAATTTTTTATTTGAATGGTTTAATAATTTTCATATTAAGACAAAAATGAATTAATATTCAAGACCAAAATGGAAGATGAAAAATTATGAGTTCATTTCTATTTTTTATTCAACAATATATCAGAATGAAATGTTTGAAGTCATTAGAATTTTAAATGATTAGAATATGAAGATAATTTAAAATTATAAGGTATTATAATTTAAAATGAATTTGGATTTGAATTGAAACTAAATTCATAATTTTGTTGAGAAAATATAACTTTTGGTTTTTATACTTTAGTCGTGTTTTGGCATAGATTCCTTTACTTTTTTGGTTAATTTTTTAGTGTTCTATGTTCTTCCAAAGTCCTTATATTTTGTTTATTTTTGGATCTAGAACATCGAAAAATAAAAATTTAAAAATTTAAAATATTGAAAAAAAAGTATAAGAACCTCTAGTTTAACATGAAGAAAATGTAGAAATCAAAAGTTATGTTTTTATTGTATCCAAATGAGAGATTTGATTAAAATCTAAATTAAAATTTAAATTTTTATTAATCTAAATATATTATTAAGAAATTAAATCGATAACTAAGATAAGTTTAAAAGATTAAAACTTTCATCATCTCTTAATTTTTTTTATTGTACATTATATTTTATTAAGGACAACTAGGTTTCAATTATGATCAAACACTAAACCATGCAAACCATTCTTTTCAAGCTCATGAGACAACCTCATTTAACTCATATCATGGTTCAAACCAGGTATTCTGCTCTGTCCCTCCATGATAACACTTTTGCATAATTAAAATGAATTTTTTTATTATTTTTCCTTTTTTTCCCCACCAAAAAATGAATGTTCTAGAAAATAAAGAGATGCTATTATTTTTAAATATATATTATATAAATGAAAATTTTAAATTCTTTATTACGATAATATTCAATTTAAACTTCAAGAATGTTTTAATTAAAATACAAAAAGTATGTAATCACTGTGTTAGATATATAAAAAACACTTGTTGCCATAAATATATTTTTCATTAACAATTTATTTATTGATTAGTTGATGCTTTATTTAAGATAATTTTGTTTCAAATTTAAAATTTGAACTTGAATTTCATTTCAATTTTTTTAGTTCAATTAAAAATCATCTATTCATTACCTATGCAAGTTGGGTCTAACAAAATCTCCCACAATATAACAAACTAAAATTTAAATTTTCACTTTAAAAAAATGCACATATTTAATATTCAACTATATTTTGAATGAAACTACTTATAAAAAGATACTTATAAACAATAATAAAAAAATCATATAACCACTGGCAAAAAAGCTCGGTGACCTTCCTGATAAAGCAATATATATTGAATTATGTATAAAAATTATGTCTACGTTATAAAAATATCTAATCATTAATAAATTCGGCACGATATCATAAATTCAATTATATAAAATCTGGCAAGAAATTTGTTAGCAAATAAAAATTAATAACAAGTTTCATAAAAGAATAACTTTATATTTTTATTTTAATAATAATTGATTTTATATTGATTGAATTTATCATCAGTACTAAATGTATTTTAATAAATAAAAAAAAGTGGGAAAGTAGGAATTTACCCACAAACAAAATGTTTCCCGCCTACTCTGTTTCTGTGCTCCCCTGTTTCAGAGCGGTTTCCCGAGCCAGACATTCTCGGCCTCTTCAGTTTTGTAAGGACATTCAGATCCGAAACTCTCTCTCTCTCTCTCTCTATTCCTTTTTACAACTTATCTCTTTTATAGGATGTAGTTGTTACTTCCTTAACTTTTCTCTCTGTTTCAGAATTTGCTTTCCTTGCAAAAATTACCGAATCAAGCCCACTCATCCTAGTCCCAATTGTGATTCTCAGATTTTTTTTTGTTTTTTATTTTCTTCTTTATTTCATCTGAATCTCTTGCTTCTCATTTGATATCGTTCTTCATTTCTCTTCATTAACACTTACATTCAGAGAGTTTTCTGGGGAAGTATCGGGTGCTCGTGATTGTTATATTTGAGGGGTTTTCTTTCTCTCGTTTTTCAACCTGAATCTCTCTGAATTGGCCGTTGTTTTTCCTTTTCCTTGGATTTGGAATATTATTGTTCTTCTTCATTGAACATTGGGTTGTTCGTAATGATATCGCCATGTGAAATTTTCACTTGCCAACCCCATTAATCGATTTGACCTTTTCTTTCATTTGGGGATTTGGGCATTCTCTCGTTTCCCTGAATTACAAGAAATAAGGTTGACAGAGAAGAATTCGAGGAATTTCAGATACCACAAACTGAGGCCATTATTATGGGCTGCTTATGCTCGAGAGGGACACATTCACATGATTATGTCGCAGAGAACCATGTCCAGAAAACAAAGAAATCCTCCAAAGGAACGGCAAGGAGGGATCAAAAAATTGCAACGCAAGAGGAATGTGGCGAAGGAAACGATGTTAGTACGAGGTTAATATCATCAGATGAGAGGGAGAAGAATGTGGAAACAAAAGGGAAACCTGGGAATTCACAAATTACAAGTGTCGAAGAAGGACAGAGTAGGATGAGGATGTTGAATAGAATAGGTAGTTTGAAAAGAGGAGAGAGAGGAGCCCAAGTTCTTGCTGGCTGGCCTTCATGGCTAACTGCTGTTGCAGGAGAAGCCATTAGTGGTTGGATTCCTCGTAGATCAGAATCCTTTGAGAAGTTAGAGAAGGCAAGCAATCGATTTCATTCATCTTATGCATTAGTATCATATTCTTAATCCTTCGAGCTGATTAAGATTGATGTTGTAATGTCAGATTGGACAAGGGACATATAGCAGCGTTTACAAAGCAAGAGATTTGGAAACAAATAAAATAGTTGCATTGAAGAAGGTTCGATTTACAAATATGGACCCGGAAAGTGTTCGTTTCATGGCCAGAGAAATCATTATACTGCGAAGGCTAGATCATCCAAATGTGATGAAACTTGAAGGCATGATAACCTCTAGGGTTTCTGGCAGCTTATACCTTATTTTTGAATATATGGAACATGATCTCACAGGCCTCGCAGCTTTACCTGGCATCAAGTTTTCAGAAGAACAGGTACTTCATTTCCTAAGTCAATGGACAGGCAAACATTAGCTAAACCCGAGCAAGTTTTTGTTGCTCACGGGCAACTCAGACAAGGTCCATGCAAGTCCATGTTACTTGCGAACAACATTGGGTAGGTCCGAAAAAGTCCAAGTTGCTCAAGTGTAACTTTGACATGGTCCAGGCAAATCCATGTTGCACACGAGCAACAAGCAATTTATAGTGGTCTTCTGTATTTACACAAAATTCGGAATAAACTACATTGTTCGCAACTTGTAAATAATGTAATTTGCTATATATTATATTATAATATTATGATATGTTGATTTGACTGGAGGGGTAATGTTTGGTGTTATGTGGTGGTGGTGGTGCAGATAAAGTGCTACATGCAGCAACTAATTAGGGGGCTAGAGCATTGTCACAAGAAGGGGGTGCTACACAGAGACATAAAAGGATCAAATCTGCTAATAGACAACAAAGGGAATTTGAAAATTGCAGATTTTGGGCTAGCCACTGTGCTGGAAGGCCAAGCATTGACAAGTAGAGTGGTCACCTTGTGGTACAGATCACCTGAACTATTACTTGGATCCACCAATTATGGTGTTGCTGTTGACTTGTGGAGCGCAGGTTGCATTCTTGCTGAACTCTTCGCGGGCAAGCCTATCATGCCCGGTCGAACCGAGGTACACAAACACAAACTCATTTTCTAGTTCATTACATGGTGTCTAAAAAATAAGTCGTTCATAACAGCTAAACAGGAGTGAAAGGGGGTGGAACCAACACAGGTCACGACTCCTCAAGATTTCAAATTTTTCTCAGTAGTATATAGATGTCATATACTCTTGGCTTTACAAAATTTATGGAAGTTTTGTAGTATATATGCTTTGTGAATATGTTATATGGTAATATATATCGATGATTTTTATGATATATATATATATATATAGGTAGAGCAACTGCATAAGATATTTAAACTGTGTGGATCACCTTCTGAGAGATACTGGAAGAAGTCAAAGCTACCACATGCCACCAGTTTCAAGCCTCAACAACCTTACAAGCGTGTTGTTGCAGAGACATTCAAGGATTTCCCGTCCTCCGCACTCAAACTTCTTGATGTTCTTCTTGCTACAGAACCTGACGATCGAGGAACTGCCTCCTCAGCACTTCAGAGCGAGGTAATTATATATATACATATGTATGAAAAAAGATAAAGATAGGATACTAATATCTTTACACGCAACTTCACAAACTTCATTGGCTGCATGAAAGTTCAGAGGATCCAAGTTTGGTTATAGAATCCTTGTTGGTGGTTTTTTGTTTTTTGTTTTAAATTAGAGGGTTAAACAGTCTGAGATTATAAATAGGATCGAACTCGGTGACCTTGTTGATACAGGTTGATCTTGCTTTGTGATTGAGATTGTTGATCTCTTGTGCAGTTCTTCACGACAAAGCCGCTTCCTTGTGAGCCTTCAAGTTTGCCGAGGTATCCACCAAGTAAGGAGTTTAATGTGAAGCTTCGAGAAGAGGAAGCTAGAAGGTATATGTCAATGTCATTTCATCTTTTGATAATTCACGTTGTGTTTTTATCGCATCAGATTTAATCTATCTTTGCATAAATTGGGATTTTTTTTTAATCTATTGACTATTTGGTAAGTTTACATTCCAATGGAACTGACAAACATCATTCTCAAAAGCTTTAGCTCGCATTGGAAGGATCATGATAGAATAAGCATCACGAGTTGATCATCTCTATCTGAATTGTTTGAATAGTGTTCATTTAGTTTTAATATTTTTTTATCTTGGATGAAACAAAACACAGAGCAAAAGCAATCTTTCAAATATCAATTTCAAAATTAATAGTGATTTAATTAAAATAAAAAGTTAAAATTTGAAATTTAAATCTTCCAAGCTAAATTTTAACCATGCAGAGGATGAATATCATATTTCTTGGCAAGTAGTATTTTAAATGATCTGCTATATGACAAGGAGTTTAGCCTCCGAGTAATAAAAAAAAAAATCATTTATTTTAGGTGAGTTTTTGTTGTTTCATTAAATTCAACCAATTTATATTTTATGTTATTAAAAAATCAATTTATATATTTAAATGGCTCAAATTAGATTAAAATGATATTAATGCAAAATATAAAATATATTTTGATAATGTCTCTTTTTATAAACTTTGTCCAAAAATGTCTCATTTTCTATCAATAATAACAATAACAATTGGGCTTGTTGTTAACAACTAGGCCATTTGCTTAGTAGTCCCGGTTTTACTTGGAATATTGGACCATACCGGGCATGGCCCTGGGCAATGTGGTGTCCACCAGGGTTGGTCTAGTATATACATATTTGAATCCCCCCCCTCTTTTTTAATAAATGTTGGTTGATTTTATGAGATCATTTTTCATATTATTCTGGATATTTAAATATTTAATTCTATTCAAATTTTAATTTAATATTATGTAATGACTTGAGAAAAATTTATTTTGGTCATGATATTTTTTTTTTCAAATGAATATATATTAGATCAATATAGCTATAGTTTTTTGGAAAAAAAAGTAAATTACATTATTTCCATGTTTATTTAATTTTTCTTAAAATTATGGTGTTGGGCTCAAGCTGACATTGGTCAGATCAATTTAATGTAGGTGTTCATTGGATCGAGTACTAGGTGAAATCTAACGTGACCTTGTCTACCTGTAAACACTCCTAATTAACTAAAGAACCCATCTTTTAAGCAATTTGAGACAAGCTAATAAGCTATAGGCTTATAGCTCAAATGGCATGATCTCACCCTTGATGCAAGTCTAAGATCAATCCCAAGTGAACAAGTAGATGATGTGTGTGGGACCCCTTCTTTGTTAAAAAGAGTTAGAAAGGATGAGGGGGAAAACAATTTTGCTAATAGGGAAAGAAATTAAGTAGAGACTTGAGATAGATTGTTCTCTTATTAGTGCTACACTGAAAAAACTGAAGTAGAAATTTGGAATGTTTTGCAACAGAAAGAAAGGGGCGACAAGGAAAGGAAATGAACAAGAGCTTGCCAAGAGTTCTGTAAACCATAAAGCTGCCCCACCACCTGATACCAAGTCCCTCCTTTCAGCAGCCACTGAGGTATGCTTCCCACATGACACTATATGGCTAAACTATAAATATATATGGCTAAAATAACTAGAGATGAGCTTTATTTTTATTTATTTATTTAAGGTATATACTTTTTCCAAATCAATTTCAAAACAAACGAATAATTTTTTTAATTTATGAATTACCCTGGAACAAACTCCTGGCATCAATACTTTTAATTAACTGTTTAGATTTGGTATTTATATGTTATAGACGTGGCTCCCATAATTAATTATCCATTTTTCCTCTTAAGTGTTTTAGTTTTGTTTATTTTTAAAGCATATTATATTTAATTATTATAAATTATTTTTATTTATGATTAACCACTATTATAAGTCGTTATTTTCAATCATTGTTGACCATTACTATGATATTTTTTAAAATTTAAAATTATTTTTAAAATAAGATAACCAAACATATTTTATTTTATTTGGTTTTTAATAATTAGTTTATGAAATAATTTTTAAAAATAAAAAATGATAACAAAACCAAAGTATCCTTAGTCCATCGTATTAAAAATCATGATTCTTAAAGATTTTGGAAGGTGGGGTCATTTTATATTTGCAACAGGTGGGATTAGACTTTACGACACTTGCCATGAAAGGAAATGATTTAGTTTTTTTTTTTTTAATCCATTTTATTTTTCATCTTTTTCCAGCAACGGCTGATTTTATACATTTTTCTTTCCTTTTTTTCTTCCCCATGTGATATTTGGCCTTTTTGTTTGTGAGAAGAATCGAGCAGGACCGAACCCGAAGCGGAGGCTGGAGAAGAACGGGTTGCTGATTGAACCGGCAAGCACAACAAGAGGAGCCAAAGTACTGTGTCATTCGGGGCAATCCACGGTGCAGAGCGCCTACATAAAAGTCATGAAGCATCGTGAAGCCGCAGGAGAACACGAAGTGTTCGTCGGAACCAGGAGGAATCAGAGAGCGTACTGGAACACCGCCAACGCCGCGCGTCTCTCCAAGTTCTCAAACTCCGTCGCCGCTGACGGCGGCTCCCGCCTAGAAGTGATCACCGCCGCCGCAGGTAACTCGTCTGTCTGGGGAGACGACCGCTTCGGCGAGAGGTATAGGCATGCGGCTGCCGGAGAATCCGAACTCTTGCTGCCGGCATCCAACAAGTCTTCTTTAAACAAACCTCGTGTCAAGGTAATTCTTTTCAGCGACCTAAACTGTAGCAAGAATAATATCATTATGAATTTTTAAATGTGTAAAAACATTTTTTAATTTTTAAATTTAAAGTACTTGAAATCTTGCTATTAAATAGTAAAAATGCTCTTATTTTAAAGTTTAAGATGAGTATCACATATAATCAGGCTCTACAATTTATAACTGCAAAAGTAATAACAATTTTTTGCAATTTAATGACGGGATTTGGTGTTTGAAATTTAATTAAAGATAATTTTAAAGTTTAAATTTAAAAATATTATTCTTTTTATTTAAAAATGTAAGGTATTTTTTAAAAAGTTAGATGTTTAAAAATATAAACGTATTTTTAATCTTTTAAAGTGTAATAATTATCTTTTTTTTTTAAAGTGTCTTTATTGATAATGACTCTATATTTATTATAAAATATTTAACAAAAGTAAATATGAAAAGATATAACTAGTTTGAAAGTAAGTAACTACTTTATTAGGATAAAATTTGATTACATTTTTATCCGAAGGAATATTCACTTAGTAGATTAAAATTTAAAATATTCATTAACCTCAATTCTTTTAATTGAAAAATGGTAATGAAAGACGTGAAAATAAAATAGAAATAACCATTCAGAACAAAAGTCCTTGAAATTGAATCCTAGGGCCTTGTTCTTTTTTCACATTTTTAAAAAAATAATATTTTAACTAAAAAATTTACACCCTAATACTTAAATTCAATTTCAAGATTTTATAGTTTTTAATAATTGTACTGTAATTTTTGAAGGTCCTTAATTGTAATTTTTTCTTTTTATGTATACATGCTTACTGGTCTGCATCTATTTATAAGGTGTTTATAAAAATAATTATAAGGTGAAAAAAATTAATTTTATCATTTAACCTAAGAAAAACATTTAATTTGTACAAAATATAGAAGATGACTCATTATCTTTCTTAATTAATAAGGAGATAATTAAAAAGTTAAAATCCTTTTAACAAATAAAAAAACATGACAATGACAACTTTTCTTAAAACACATGAAGAATATATCAAACACTTTATAAAGAGGATCAGAGGCAACATATATATCTACAATAACATGTGAATCATAAATGTTTGGATGTATGATGTGTTAATAAACAAGAATCTCGTGCAGGATTATGGAGGGAAGGATGGAAATAAGTTGCAATATTCAGGACCGTTGGTGTCTGCAACAGGAAACCTGGAAGAAATGCTGAAGCAGCACGAACAACAAATCCAACATGTCTTACGTAAAGCTGCTGGTTTTGATAATAATAAGGTCAAGACTTCATAACTTACTCACCTTCAATCACAACATATGTGATTCTCACACACATATATAATACGTACGTTATTTCTCTTCTGATACTACTTAATCAGTAAAACATTACTTGTGTGTCATGTCTATTTGGTGCCCTCTTGACGAGCTTCTCTGATCAATTAATTGTACATGTTTATGGGAAACATTAATTATCATATCATAGGTGTACAAAATGTATTATCATATTTTATTTAGGAAGCTGAGCAGTGTATGTTTTTTTTTTCACTGAGATTCAATGTTTTGTAAAGCTGCTGTGTTTCAATATATATGATAGTTCCTAGTTCACATATTGGCACAAATTCTTTGGTCAATTGTTTCGTTTCCATATTAATTGCTACTCAACTTGTTCAAGCAATTTCATTCAGTTGTGTATATATGTTATTATTAAAATCAAATGGATATGCATGCGTTATGGCATAAAAATTGATAAATGATATATTTATTATTAGTATTAGCTAGTCCTTTAAAATAATATTAATATATTGGCTATCTAATGACATATATTAGTCTATGACCTTACAACCTAACAAGTTTTACTGATAGATGGAAGATTTGTGAATTCAATCTTGCTTATAACCTCACATTATCGGTGCTGCTTCTTTATTTAAAAATAAAAAAGAATGAGTTCAATTATCATTGTAATATAAATGTTTTTCTATCCATCTTCACCTGACATTTTTGCATTTATAAGATTTAAAGTCATCTCTTTCCTTTTATATATTTTATTTACCAAAACACTATCTTTTCTTGGCACCATCATTTAATTTAATATTTTAATAAACATCAACTAAAAAAATTGTTTTTTAAATAATCATCAACTAAAAAACAAAGAAAGAAAGTGAAGCAGATATTCTCGACCAAGTAAATACCAAATCATATATTTTTGGATAAATTAGTTAATTAAGGTATAAGACTACAAGCCTTACAAAATTAATACAATTAAACCTAAAAGTAGTCCCATATATGGTTTAAAATTCAAAGAAAAAGCCGCGTTTTTTTGTTTCAATCACAAAAAGTAAAAGTATGAGCCTCACCAAGAAATTGAAGAATATTTAAATATTTGGTTTGGTTTATATAAACATAATTAATTTATTTTTGTATATAAATTAATTTTTAATCATTAATTTTCTTGTTCATTTAATTTATAAAGTTTTAGCCTATATTTCTGTTCAATTCTTTTGTAAGTCTTTTATATTTACCACTATAATAATTTAATTAATACAATGTGACAATTAATGTGAGAACATTGCTCACTTTTACCCATAAAATGAAGCAGACATGAGTTATAGATAATATCCTTTTTTATCATAAATTTTAAAAAAATATAATTTTAAATCACTGTGCTTTACTCACATTTTAATATAGGTTTTTATTTTTTTATATTCATAATTTCTATACTTTTATTTTTCAGTGTTTTAAGTTTCTCCATGAACAAAGTGTAGGGACTTTGAAAGGACCTAGAATATTGAAAAAATGTAAGGACTTATAACAAAATGTGAGTAAAGTATAAGAATTTTTTAAAATTATGTTTTCCCTAAACTTTATATTTTTTATATGTATAAATATATAACTAGCTGATTGAGGATTGCATTTTATATTTTGGCTCAAAACACATGAACAACATGTTCTACAGTACGTGTTGTATTATTATCCCAATAAATGATTCATACAATTTTTTGGGCTCGGTGATTCATATACAACTTTACCTGATCTATTTTTACCCAAAAAAAAAACTTTACCTCAGATATTAAAGCATGTAACTATAATTTCAATTTTTTATATTATTTACTCTAAGCATTTTTCATGATTAACTTGCATGTCATTGTTGCCTTGTATTCAAGTAATGGTGTGAATTGAATCCTATGGCATTCATTGATATGGAACTAGTGATTCTGGATTCGATTCCCAGTGGAGTCATTATTATGCTAATAATATACATAAATGAAAATTTATCCTCCCTAACAAGGACATGGCTATACAAGCTTATCTTGAAATGTTGGCAGAGCAGGGGTCATGGGCTAGCTGGGACAGATTTATTTTCAATATTAAAAATTTAAAAATATAAAAATTATAAATAATTACAATACTTAATAATTTTTTTATCATGTTTTCATGTTTTGTAATCATTGAAAAATTAACTTATCATTTTTTAAGATTCAAATGAATTTAAAATTTAGAATATAAAAACTTATACCCCTGGCATGTACTCCGGGTGAGCCACTACCTTGAGTTATCATGTTTATTATTCAGAATATTTAACTTTTGTTTTGGACATGAGATTTTTTAATATTCTCTTTATGAATGAAAATAAATAAAAGCAAGTTATTTTTTTAATATATAAAAAGCAAGTTACTTCAAGAATTACTCCAAGATATTATCAGAGAAGAATGATCGTAGTCACCTATTTTTATTCCCTGGGAGATTATGCAATATTTATTTTCTTGAGACCGTAATTTTAAATGGAATGAAAAAATTACCAATCAATTTTGAGGCATATGAAGAGAACTTTTGAATATATATATATATATATATATATATATATATAAGCATCTTCATTTAAGAAGGACCTAAATAAAACAAGTGTCGAAGACTATTAATGCCGTTTGTGACAAACTGACAATGTTAATATTTGAGGTTAGAAATTACAGTGGATTTTCTTGGTAGGAAATATGAGATAAACATTCTTCACACGTTAAAATATAAATTCAAACACTGTTAAATCGTGATTACGTTAAAAGTTTTTTTCTTTTAGTTTTTGTAAACTCTTAATTCAAAATTTTTTTGGTGAAAAAATTCGAATTTTATTAATTGGTAAAGTACTAATTAATTTGATTTCTCAATACTTTATCGTAAATAACTACAAGACTCTAATTGCATTTAACTAATTACTTCTAAATAAATAAAATTTAATTTGATAATAGTAAAATTATCTTGAAAGGTAAAAATAACATAATTAAAATTTATCATCATTATGATAAGTCATAAATAATCTAAGATAAACACTAAATTTGTTGGTTTAAATTAGAGATTTCAATTTTTTTTACTAGTGTAAGTATTGTCTTTTTATCAGCATGTCTTGACATAATAAAATTTGCCAAGGTCCACACACACACACACGCACACTACAGCGATGGAAAAGATTGAACATTTTTACCTCATATCACTCTTTATGCCTCTTTTTTTAAAGAAATTTTTATAATAAAAAGAATCCTTAGAAATCCATATATATAAACTTACGTAGATATTGAAATATAGTTATGAAAAAACAGGACAATCAAGGCAAAAATAAAATTAAGGAAGTGGATTATTAATTCCTTTGACTTAAGCAGAACACCAATTAATTTATCTCATAGTCTAATTTTGGATTTAGTTTGACCCCAAATTAAGGAAACAAAGATCAACAAACGAGCACACACTTTCACTTTAACACGGAAGCTCAAAACTACACACATGAATATAAAATGGAAGCTTTACCAAACTTGCAGATCCAACAACCTCAACCATCTTGCTTCATCAGAAATTCTGGTAGCTCCTTTGTCTGCATCAAATATTATCCTCTCAGCATGATTTTTTCTTCTCTTCATGTCCAAGCATCAGAATTTCATCAATCACTCTCTTATCTTCTTCATCACCAAAACCTTTACCTTATAACCTGAGCTCTCAGCCAAATCAATCCCAGAGCCATAACCCAAAACTCATACATCCCCATAGCCATATACTTGCTCCCTCAGTCTGGTGCATTCAAGATTATTTCCCTGAGTTCTGAGAATCTGTCACTAAGTATTGAAGTATGAGGCCTAAATCCCATCAAACCCTCAATGTCAAGTTTCTGATTCTAGGGTTTTTGGTAGCATTTTTCTTCATCTTAGTTTTATGGCCAAATTACTCTGCTTCCAACCAAGCTGTATCTCCAAGTTCATCATCAAAAGCTTCGTCTCTAACCCTCAAAGATTCAAATGATGATGATCATGGCACAAAAGAAGATTGTTCCCTTTCTTGCGCCAAGATCCCTCCTTCTTTAGCCAAAGCTCTCATCCACTACTCAACCTCAACCATAACCCCACAACAAACATCCAAAGAAATCTCAGTGACATCAAGAGTTCTAGAAAAGAAATCACCCTGCAACTTCCTAGTCTTTGGCCTGGGCCATGACAGCCTCATGTGGAGCTCCCTCAACCATGGTGGCAGGACAGTTTTCCTGGAGGAAGACGAGGCATGGATTGAACAAATCCGGCGCCGGTTCCCCGGCCTAGAGTCCTACCATGTGACTTATGACAGCAAGGTGAATGAAGCAGACAATTTAATGGAAGTAGGAAAAGGGCCAGAGTGTACAGCAGTGGGAGATCCTAGGTACTCAATGTGCCAACTAGCTTTAAAAGGATTGCCCAGTGAGATCTATGAGATAAAATGGGATTTGATAATGGTGGATGCACCAACTGGGTATTATGAGGAAGCTCCTGGGAGGATGACTGCTATATACACTGCAGGAATGATGGCAAGGAACAGAGAAAGTGGAGAAACTGATGTGTTTGTGCATGATGTGAATAGGGAAGTGGAAGATAAGTTTTCTAGGGCATTCTTGTGTGACAAGTATATGAAGAAACAAGAAGGCAGGTTAAGGCACTTCACAATTCCTAGTCACAGGGATGACTTGGATAAGCCATTTTGTCCTCAGGATTAAAACTAGTTCATTTTTTCTCTTTTCAAACTCTCATGTCTTTGGAATAATATTCATGCTTTCTTTTAGCAACTAAAACACATTCATAATCTTTGGCCAAAAAAATTTAAGAGCAGGATCTCTCCCGCTCAGTCCCTCCTGTTCTCCCTCCTGCCCCACAGACGGCCCCACCATGTGAGGGCCGGAGGGAGAGCAGGAGAGAGGGCGCAAGATCTAGTGAACCTGGGTCTTCTACATATACTTTATATTCATTCATCACAGACAAACATAAAAAGGACCTCTTGATGATTCCTTTGATTTTGCAAGTTTTGTTGGGCATTCATGCATTAATCTGCCTAGATGGCTACTGAACTATGTATATATATACGTATGCATGCATGCATGCATATGCATGTGGTGTTATTTGAAATTGGAGTAGCAATCATTATTTTTTTTCATTATCTTTCCGAATTACTACGTAATGGTATTCAAAATCTTGTAGTATTTCAATGTATTTGATGCCTACCTTTTAAATTGTTGCTTAATTGCATGTTGATGTTTTTTTTTTTCCTGGTGACATTATGTCGTAATCAAATCCTACCGAAATTATAATTAATTATGTGATGTCATTCATAAGCCGTTTGTGCTTATCCTCTTAGATTAAGGGCATATTTTATATTAATTACCAAATTTACCCTTTTCTAAAACCTTTTTTTCCCCTAAATTAAGGAAATAAATTAAAATGACTAAAATGTGCCTTCAGACATAATTATTTCACCACATCTTTTGTCATATATCGTTCATACCAAGTAATATTAGCTTAGCTATCATTTCGTACTTCCGTTAACTTAAATGGGTATTGTCACATCAATTCAATGAGTTTTTTTCTATATTTAAGTTTATCATATAGGATTTTTGAGTAATTTTTCAAATATTTTTTTCTTTTGCGAGAATTATAAAGCTACATATAATTTATTTGGAAAAATCACTTTAAAATCCCATCCAATAACAAAAAAATCTTACAAAATTAAAAAAATTATTCTGAAAATTTATGTTATTTATTGAAATTGTCTATTACTATTAGATAATTATTAATTATTGTTGTAAACAATTTCATTAACAATTATTCAACAATATCTAATTAATAATTGAATTTCAATATAGCAAATTAATAATTTCGATTAAGAACATGAAACTTAAAAATATATAATTTTATGGAACTCTCTTATATTTATATCTCATGTGTGCGATCCAACAGTGAACTTTTTAATTTATTTTTTTAAAAAAAAGGTGTAGATGATTGATTGAGAGGTAAAAATTAAAAAGTGAAAAACTAAATTAAAAATTCAGATTCCGTGTGAAAAAAGCGAGCCATAATTTCTAAATGAACAGACAGCACGCATGACGAGGCCCTCGTGTGGAAGATGGTTGATAAAGGCTCTACGTGCGAACCGCCAAGATATATTCAACCGCCGATATGGCCTTTAAAGTTTAAAATTACCTGCGAAAATAAAAAAATATTAAATTAAATTCTTTCAAAGCAGAATCATTGTATTTGACTGATGATGAGGTGAGGGACAGCACCATTTCGTCGCTTTTCTTTCTTCTTTCGTTGCTTCTTCCTTTCGGGGTCACTGAGACCAAGTAACCACAAGAGACGTCACCCATTTCGATCATTAACAACCCCAATGAGCAACGAATAGTAAGTTCGCTCCTTTCCCTTCGAAGACTTTTTTGTTTGGTTTTGTTTTTCATTTTCTTTCTCGGGAATTATTTGTGGGAAAATACTGTATGTTTTTGTGTTTTTTGGTTTAATTTCAGCGATTACCTGTTCAAGCTTCTGCTGATCGGGGACTCCTCGGTTGGAAAATCTTGCTTGCTTCTCAGATTTGCAGTGAGTTGACTTTGTTGGTCCTTTTATGTTCTATTGTCACCCATTTTTGCTTATTTTGTGTTATTTTGCAGTGGGAAACAAGGTTTCGAGTTCATGGTTCGTTAATTTCATTTCATTGTTCACTATAATTTTCAGGATGACTCGTATGTGGACAGCTACATAAGCACCATTGGAGTTGATTTCGTAAGTATCATTCTGTACTTCTAACGATTTTCTTCTTTTTAATTATATATTCAGATATATCCGTGGTTGAAAAGCAGCAACTTCTGTATTTTTCAGAAAATCAGAACTGTGGAGCTAGAAGGAAAAACAGTCAAGCTGCAGATTGTGAGTAGAAACTGCACTGCCTTTATTACACGTTCTCTTCATTTAAAACGAATATGTATTAGTGACTAACTATGTGGTTTATATGTTTTATGATATCTAAGCATACATCATCCTATATGATATTGCGTAGGATCTTATTTATGATAATAATTTCAAGGAAGTGATGAAATTTATAATGTCGAGTTTGAAGTTATCTTCTGGGGCCTGTCTCAAAAAAATCTGTAAAGTAGCATGAGTGTTTTAATTTAGTTTTTAGAACATATGTGCTTCTAAACTATGCAAATTAAGGCTATGATTTCCCAAAACACTACATTTAAAGTTGCAAATTTCATTTAATATGCGCCCATATTATATGATTTTGATAGAATATGCAGAGGGAATGATTTTCCATTGATGATTTGTCCAACTTCATTTTTCTCTTGATCTTCATGGTTTCACCGAAGCAGCTTTGTTGTGTAATTCAGCTTAGGCATTTGGGGTAACCTTATTAAAACTTACTTCTAGTTTGCGTGCTAGTATGCTTTAATGCCTAATTTGGTAATATTTTAATCAGAAGTGAAGTATCTAACGATCTATCCTTTTTATTTTTAGTGGGATACTGCTGGACAGGAGAGATTTAGAACCATAACAAGTAGTTATTACAGGGGAGCTCATGGAATAATTGTAAGTGAAACTGTTATATCATCATTAAAATGTGAGGAATGTAGACTCATTTTAGCAGCAAAATCTATCAGATTTTTTAAGTATATATGTTTTGAGATTGCAACAGATTGTGTATGATGTTACTGAGATGGAGAGCTTCAACAATGTCAAGCAGTGGTTGAATGAAATTGATAGATATGCCAATGACAGCGTATGCAAGCTTCTTGTTGGAAATAAATGCGATCTGGTTGATAATAAGGTTGTTGACACGCAAACTGCTAAGGTAAATGTCACTTTTGGTTGTAATTTCACTATTTTTTTTTTAATCAAGTTCAACCTAGTGATGAAATCCTTGAGCAGACATTAAGCCACTGCATTGACATGCTTGCTTTCTATATTTTCATTGTTGGTATTACTAGTTTCTGTTTCTATCTATTCTACCTGTGTTTGTTGATCTTGTTGTAACAGTTTGACGATGTTGTGCATAAATTTAAACCTGATGATAATTGTGTTTATAATGCAAATGGATTAGTTTGATAGTTACTTAGCATGAGACAGAGTGAAATTGTCTATTTTTGTTTCTTGGTAGGCATCAAATGTTGTGATTAGCAGTGGATGCTCAGGCAATAAATAATTTTTTTTTAATATTGTAACTTAATAAAAGAGAAAGAAATTAATTGAGGTGCTGCTTATCTAACCTAATTTCTTTATATCGTGGGTATAAATTATAGGCATTTGCTGATGAACTTGGTATCCCTTTCCTTGAGACAAGTGCTAAAGACTCAATCAATGTGGAGCAGGCTTTCTTAACCATGACGGCTGAGATTAAAAAGAAGTATTGTTCTTCCCACTTCCCTTATTTCTGAATTATTGAGATATTTGTCAATTTACAGATAATGAATACTATGATTTAGGTTTTTGTTTGATTTGTTTTGCCCACCTTGGGCTTTCCACTTGATTAAAATTAAAATATCTACAATTGAAAATTTTAATGATATTACAAGTGTAAGCCCTTGCGTTTTACAACAATTTCAATGCCTGCATTCTCATATGCTGTCTATGTGATAGTAATTTATTGCTGTTAGAATTATTAAATTCATTTTGTAATGTATAATGTAACTGATGAAAAATTGGATGGTGTAGTTGTGATGTTTGAAGTTAAGTTTTTACTTTTTATTTTACTTTCTTGCCATTTATGGATTTTATTTTTTTTGTGCTGTACATTGGATACAGAGTGATCATATTCTGATAACTTCATTACTTTGAAAGCAATTAACAATCTCATGTGTACTCGTTTGTCTGATAGTTGGTTATCAAATTATTCAATAAATATTTAATCTGTGTATGATTTTTTTTTTTAAGTAACAATTCTATAATCTTAAACCATTAGAGACATCCAAATTGAATCCTGTGCATTCTTGTATCTATACATTTGGGGAGAGAGTGATGCAAGAGAATGTGATGATACATGCACTCCTCATTAGCCCCTTCAGTCCTAATTATAAGCCAGTTTTAAAATTCTATTTGGTCCTAAATATAGGTAAAGATGTAGTAGTTAATTTTTTTTCCCAATATTGCCCCTCCTTAATTGCACCAATTTGTAATTCCTAGACACACTTTATTGTGGTCATTAATTTTAGTGAAGGGCAAAATTGAAATGTCAAACATTTTTATACAAGTTTAAAGGTATTAACTACCATTCCTTAAGAACCCGAAGCTACTTAATTTTGTTCTATAATTAGGACCGGAGGGAGTTTATTATTACACTATCTACTCTCTTTTTTATCTTTATCTCTGTGTTTGTTAGAGAATTTGACATCAAACTTGTACATGAATCTTGTCCTTTCATGACTTGGTGTAACTTTTTGTGATTGCAGAATGGGAAGCCAACCAACAACAGGTGGCAAGTCAACAGGAACTGTTGAAATGAAGGGACAACCAATTCAGCAGAAGAGCAACTGTTGTGGTTAATTTACACAACATGTGTATTTTCTGCTTCCTGTGAAATGATGTCAATATAATATAACCTGTTGTTGACTCTCTTGATACGGATCATTTCCTCTGTAACTGTTGGAAGTATGGTCTGTTTTGATAGCCTTTTCAGAAGACTTAGTTCTGATGAATCCTTAAATTTATAATTAAATCTAAGTATTTTCTTGCAGGAATCTGTTTTTTTTTTTTTTTTTTTTGTTTTAGTTATCAAATTTTGCAGCTACAGGCATCTTTACTGAATTGAATATTTTATACTGGCATGCATGCCTTTGTACATCCTAAAGGTGCCAAAAAAAAGTATTATATATTGTAACTTTCATGACAATAAAGAATCTGGATTGCACCTTTACATTGTTTGCTTGAGCCATCACCCATGAATTAACCAAGCAATGCAAGGCAGTGCTTGCTTCTAGTTATTTAAAATAATAATACTATATTGGTAACAAGCATTATCTTATTTGATAGGGTTAGCTGTATAGATTGCATCATATTATTGTGCTGTATCAATAACTAAAATCTTTTTAACTAGAGATTAAAACAAAGCCTGTAAAATATTAATACTATGCCTTTAATTGTCCTCAATGGAATATCAACCGTATTTTCTTAATTCTTTATGCCAGGTGATTTGAAGGTTAAAACTTAGACAAAAACTTGATTCTTGATAACATTGACCTTTGCATTAGTCATTTAGTTGATGAATTTTGGAGAAACTAAACAAACGGGAGAAAAGTAGTATTTTAGAGCCATTGTCTTTATGAGGGTATATTTAATGCACTTAATTTCAAAATATCTGATGTCGAATAGCGTAATTTCTGTAATGACGCCGTTTTATGTGATATTTCTTACATTTTAACGGTATGATGGAAATTTTTCTCATCAATTCGTAAATATCATGGCCGTCCAACATCTTAGAAAACATTTAATTTAAGATATCAGTGCACCCAAATTCTCCTAAGACATGATATGACAACGGTTCCCACCCTCCCCTCACCCGGGGCCCAACAAAAAAAAAAACCCCCAAAAATTGAAAACAAAAAGATGTTGCTTTATTAATTCTTTCCGTCTCCGATAATCGTGGTGTTTGTTAACTAATTAAAAAAAAACCATTTATTCTATTTTTCCAGGCTGTCTAGTACCCCCAAAAAAAATAAAAGATTAAACTGTTGCCCTCGTTCTTTTCTGTTGGCAAACTAGACTCTAGTTTCTAATAGCTGCACCTGAACCTTGAATCCTTGACACTTACAAATAGCAATGCACAAAACAACCATAAGAAATCACTATAAATTATAAAACTTTATAAAAAAACAACAAAATATTGTTCCAAAAGAATGATAAACAAAACAAGCAAATATAACCACCCATATGATGATAATAGTATGATACTGAAAAACTGAGAAAAGTGTAGAAAACTAATACAAGCTACAATTCCTTCAAGATGTACAGCAAGGCTTCTTTGCTGGTTCAGCTCCTCCAACTGTTATAGTTTTACCTTCCTTAACAGTAGAAGCTGCAGGCTCACCAGAAGACAGTGACTTCTTGCTGATAATGCGATATATCTCTGCAAGAATCGTCTGAAAGGCCTTCTCAACATTGGTAGCTTCAAGAGCAGATGTCTCGATGAACGAAAGGCCTTCTTTCTCGGCATAACTCTGGGCGTCTTCAGTGGCAACAGCTCGAAGATGCTTCAGATCTGTCTTGTTCCCAATCAACATGATCACAATGTTAGCATCTGCATGGTCCCTAAGCTCCTTTAGCCATCGGCTAACATTCTCAAACGTTGTGGGTTTTGTGACATCATAGACCAGAAGAGCTCCAAGAGCACCGCGATAGTAGGCGCTAGTTATCGCTCTGTACCGTTCCTGTCCAGCCGTATCCCATATTTGAGCTTTGATAGTTCTTCCCTCAACCTAGATATGCATGCCAACCTTTTTCAGTGCGTTGGAAATAATTTACAAATGAGGAAATATCACCAACTGATTCTACAAAGCTTTGACTATAAATCACTAACATTTACAAGACAATTTTGCGGCTAGCAATCAGACTAACAGAGCATAAAAGAATAGAAAACCAAAAATGCAAGCTCTTACAATCAAGAATCACAAAATTAGGTGATCACCCAAAGTTCCTCTCTGGATGCCTCTAATGGCAACAAGGCATCACCTCTAATATATTGATCTCAGTAACCCACCCCAAAAAAGGTGAAACAAATAATTAGGTAATTAATATAATAGATTGACACAGAAGAAGCTAATAGGCTTTTTGAAGCAATTGATGCCAAATATATAATATATCGTTGATGAGGAGCAACAACCTGTTTGGCTACCTTGATGGAAACGGAATCAAATTCCATTATTTGAAATTCAAGATATGCAATCTCTATTATATCCCCATTACCAATACTTAATGATAATATATAATTTTTATTATTTTTCATTCAGGGACATGAACATTTCGCATTTAAAAATATCACTTTTTTCATTCCATTTCTCTTTTATTCCATTCCATTCTCGGAACGAAGTGAGGCCAAAGAGGTCACATGACATGAAGCAATGGATCAAATAACCAAAATGACAAACACATACGCCTCACAGACATGTTTTGCAAAATAACAAATAGCAGTACTGTACTCATGAAAAATTACGAATACAAGTTTTGAATGCTAAGGTCTTGCTGCTCAGCTACCTTGTTTAAATGCATAGTGAGTGTATTAAATATTAATGCATTTTCATCCATTATTCTACAATAATACACCCACCAAGACAAGTTGAACGCAGTCATCAATAAAAAGTGCAACTGAATTTCCCACAATCGCAATCATAGCTTCAGAAAATTGGAGAATAAAATATAAACACAAGTGGCTGCAGGCCATTGAAGTGCTATAGCTTGATAGGAATTACTCTTTCACTAAGTGTGATTCGTTAAAATCATACCAAAACACTACAGAAAATAAATTGGGCAGTTAAGACCGGGAGAATCATCATAGAGGGGGAGAACGAAAATATGTATAAAAGCACAAGGAAAATGAAAACTCAAGCATCAAACCTCAATGCACCCAAGCTATGGGCTGTTAGAGTAAATTAAGGAATGTAAGATTGAAAAGAAAAACAACAGAGTATAAGGTGGCGATCAATAATATCTCCAACACAGTGATACAGTTTATAGATTCAACTTCAAAGAGATAGGGTTTCGATGGCAACAAAGTAGCCTATGAAATAACCAAAGAGGTATACCATTAATCATATTGCAGGCAACAAGAAACACATCAATCATTGCAACTGCTATAGAAGCAAAATGAATTTATCAATTATCAGTAACAAACAATTATCACTTCATGGTTCAACTATTTAATTGACGCAATAAGAATGGAAAATAGACAAGGACCAATCAAGATATCAGTAAAAAATTTGATATTCAAAAGCATTATTTCGGGTAGCAAAGCAAAATTTGAAACGCATTCACTTCAAATTCAGAACAAAATCCAGTTCCCAGGACCAAAACCAAACGGTACACTGGTATCGACAATCCAAGAAGCAAACAGTTACAATAAGAAAAACAGATCTGAGACAAAGCCACTTTACAAAAAATAACCAGACTTAGATCCGATACGATTCGGAACGGAGCAAAAACTTGATAGGCATTGAGATCAAACACACACAGTCTGTTTACACAATCCATCTCCATATCGAATTCTCAAACATAGATCAGATGGCAAATACAGCCACCGTCAGTACTGCCATCACTACTACACTGAATAAGAGAGAGTTAGGGAGAGAACAGAGAGAAAGACCTCTAGGGTACGAGTGGCGAATTCAACACCAATGGTGGACTTAGACTCCAAGCAAAATTCATTGCGGGTGAATCGCGAGAGAAGATTAGACTTTCCAACACCCGAATCGCCGATTAAGACCACCTTGAACAAATAATCGTACTCCTCGTCGGGTCTCCTCGCCATTTTCTGTCTCCCTATAAGGAAAAATCGCTTTTTTATAGTAAATTCAGAAAATTAAATGAAACAAAAATGGCAAAAGAGCAATAAAAGGGCCCGTACCCTGAGAAACCGGACGCGAGAGGAAGAAGAAAGATTTGAGTCAGAAGAAAATCAATGAAATTGAAAACGGAACCTTTCAATTTATGCAATGTTGGCCTGAGTAGTATGAGTGGAAGTGAGAGTATTAGAGCAGCATGTTGACTAAAATGCCCTTCTAAATTTCTCGGATCTCAGAAGTACAAGTGCCACTTGCAGAAAATTTTTAACCATTTCATTTTTTCCACGTCAAAATCTCCAAAGAGAGCAAGAATCGAGGCAGACATTAACATCTTTCAAAGGGTCAAAATTTAGGACTCGAGTGGATGACAAGCGTCTTGTTCGTTGTCACCAACATGATCTTACATATTAATTACGCTTCTCTTCAGGTGACTGTGGCTCTAATGAGATCAAATTACCGCAGGCACCCCAGTGAAGGGAAGGTCCTTACTCCTTACCTTTGTAAGAACGTGTTTGATTTCATGCCACACATCATTGATATCAACCCAACACTAATTTCATCTTTACATTTGTGCATTGGAGGGGATATAAAAACCTTATTTTAAGTTTTAATACATATCTTGCTTCTTATAAAAAAAAGAATGAATGTAAAAACCTAACCGGCTAATAGAGAGTGAATCTAATAAAATAAACGATCTTCATAATGTGATAAATTAATATTTAAATTTTTATTAAAAAATTTGTCTGCATTTAAGGTATTTAAATTTTTATTAAAAAATTTGTCTGCATTTAAGGTCAAATTATGCTTTAAATAAAATTGTCTTCAATAGAAGAACAATTTTATGCAATAAAAAAACTAAACCAAAAATATAAAAAAATCAAAACATATATAATAAAGAAGAAGGTTAAATAACAATTTACTTATTAAATTATAGGTTAAGAAATATCTGAGATTTTAATTCATTTTTTATATAATGTTTTCCCTCAATTTTTTAAAAATGGTATAGTATTTACTGTAAATAAAAATTAAATTTAACTGTTAGTTAATTATAAAATAACAAAAAAAGAACTCAATAATTGTAGGTTCATGTTAACAAATTTTTATATGAAAAATAAAATAAAAATAAAAAATAAGATGATTTTTTATTTAATATATAATATTCAATGCTAATACCATGATCTTT